GGCGCTGCAGCCATCAGGGCGCTTGTGGTTTGCGGGTCGTCACACACACACACACACACGCGCACCATTCGACGTTGGTAGCTGCAGAGAGCTGCGACGACTACGGTGGCGATTAGAGTGCACACACCCTGCCTCGCACAAAGACTCGCCTTCTTCTGCTGCTGCTGCTGCACGTGCGCCCACGGTCGTTGCCTCAACATCTGCGTCAGCAGAAACCGTACGCGCGCACGCGCTCGCGTGCGACAACGCACGGTCGCACGATTATCGACTTTTTTTAAAAATTATTATCAGCATTGTCTGCCCGCACGCGTTGGCGTCCTCGCCGCCGCCACCGCCGCCGCCGCGACCAGGTGGGTCGTGGCGAGGAGCCCACTCCTCTTTGTCCGATATACCACGGCATTCTCACCCTCTAAAGAGCGCATGTCCGCGTCGGCGTTGCCACGATAGGGTAACCGCAGTTATAGTGCATGTTCACGCCGGATGTACTACTATATGGTCGCGGACCGACCGCGGTCAGGGTCGAGGCAACTGCGTGGTGCTCTGGGGTTGTCGAGACCAAAGCGTCGATTTGGTGAGCGCGCCTGAAAGCAGTTGACTTAGGCAACTGAGTGGGCGCAGGGGGTGCGGCCTGGAGAGGCCTTTGGCGCTGCATTACTCAGAGCTACCTAGGGAAGCGCTTCTTTCACCTTCTGGGCTGTCCTCTGTGACTTCGTAGCATGAATAACGAATAATAGGTATTACCCCCCTCCTGTGCTACTGAGCATCATAACGTCGTCTTTTCGGACCCTATACAGCAAGTCGGGAAGCAGGAAATGCGATAGCCGGAACAAGCATTTTATTTGCTTGAGGCTTCAGATTCGCACTCGAACCTACCATCAGAGACAGTCCTAGATAAGGATGATGGAGGTAAAAGGAGCGCAGTATTTGTATGACGCAGCTGTCATGCAACCACATGCCTACTATAATTAGCAGCCCCCTGCGTTCACCACTGTGGCTCATATCTTATACGATGAATGCTTGCTTGTTGGAATTTCATCATCGTTGCTGATTCTTGGCGTGCATATAACTCGGCAGTTTGATTCGCTGTCAATAAAACTGCTGCTCGTCCGCGTCGTCCCACTTGGCTAAGTATTCTGCCCGGATAGCCTCAGCAAAATATATGAAGGTAGGAGGTCAGTGCATTCGTTATTCGACGGAGGACCGAAAAACCATTACTGGCGTAGTTCGTAACTCACGCGGTCGTCACCTCTTGCGATAATTTCGGTCTCGTCAAAGTTGAATATGTGGTCGGGCCCCATAGAATGAGCCGCCACTTGGGAGTTGGCGTCGTTCCTCCTCACTGCTGCTGCTGCTGCTACTGCCGCATGCTCGATTATCAGCGTCCGAAGTAGTCTGACAGTTTCTCAGTCGCAGTTGTTTTGCTCACAAATGTATCAGATGCTGCATGTGACCAGGTGTTTTTCGCCATGTCAGTAGGTCTATCGATCTTGAGAATTGGTGCCTGATGGTTGCCTCCGGGCTGAGTGCAACGCTAAATACGAGGGGTGTGAGAAGGCGTCTGACGGCACATAAGACCCCCAAGGCAGGGTCGAAAAGTTATCACGCGATAATTATAGTACTTATGGCTGGATAGAGAGATAAGGAAGTGCTAATTTGCTACTAAAAGGGTCATTGAAGTGGACCGATAGCTGGGACCACTGTCTCACTTGTTCGGCATCAAAGACCTTGAACTGCAACAACAGCAACAGTAGCGGCAGCAGCAACGACATTAAAAAGGACAACAAGGCAACAACAACAACAGCGGCATCATCATCATCATCATCATCATCATCATCATCATCATCATCATCAGCAGCAGCAGCAGCAGCAGCAGCAGCAGCGTCGTCGTCGTCGCCGTCACCACCACCACTACCACCACCACCACC